TTTATTTTTATATTTAAAAATTGCGTAAAAATACTATAAATCTTGATAATTGACAATATAAAATATGTTTTGAAAAAAATACAAAAAATTCCACTGATTCTTGAAGTGAATCTATCGTAAAAATACTATAAATCATGATAATTGACAACATAAAATATTTCAAAAATGTTGTATGTGGGTAGTCTTATTATGCCTTAAATAGTGTCAAAGAAAGTACAGGTTTGTGATAAAAAAAAACTTAATTCCTTTATCCACGCAAACAATCGCTTCAAAAACTCGATTATTAGCCCCAAAACATACCATTTATATTATAGCACGGGCCACATTATCTAGTAGTAACATAAGAAAGAATAAGAAAAACAAAAAATATCTAAAGTGAAAAGAAAGGAGTGCTTCTAATTTTCTTAAAAACAGCTGTATTACATTTTACCCTTAAAAATGAGTATAATTACGGTATTGCCAGTGGTCGTCCTCTCATCACGTTTCTATATAATAGATAGACTAGATGGATATAGCCCGTGCTTACACGGGCCCAACATTTAGCATTTTCAAGTGGTATGTACTTTGCATAGTTACTCGGATAAGAGTATATATTGTAAAAGCTAATAGATCATTGCATAAGTTATACAAATGAACTTCAAAGTGCAATAATACAACTAATTTCTCCCTTTCCACAAATAACTTTACATTGCAGACAACTATCTTCTAAATACTTTTCAATATTTATCATAAGAAAATAGAAGTGGATAGACTTACATAGAGCTAATCATAGAATATGACAAAATTCATTTTACAAAATCTAGTGATGCCTTGAATCATTAGTAGTAAATTTGAGTAGATGCTCTCTGTATTTTTCAAAAGAATAGAAGTTGGTATCCTTAAATGGAGCTGCATGTAGAGTAATAAAATTCCGTTTCATAAATCCATTGATGCCTCGAGTGTTTGCAATTGTCTTGATAAGATGCAAAATTTCCTTCACTCAGCACGAACTATATACTCCAGCTTTAATATCTCAAGGAAAGGAATAAAAGTTCCGAAATAACAACTGTTCATAAAAATAGTAGCACTTAAAGCAAAAGTAAAAATAAAATAGTGAAGACAATCACAAAGAACCAGCATATTACAAGTTATATGTCAATTTAAAATAAAATACTGAAGATAACCACAAAGAATTAACATATACCAAGTTATATGTGAATTTGAAAGGAACAACCTTCACTCAATGCCCTAAGGAAATAGATTCAAGAAAGTATTCCTGTCATTCACATTGCAAAATTCAAAATCACAATCATGGAAGAATCCTCTTAGCACATAGAATATTGAAACATGTCTGGCTCATATGAGAAGAGTCTTGCGCTATATTTCAATATTTACTGTTAAAACATCTTGCACGTATATAAGTATATTTGTGCATAAATATTTCTGAGAAGGAAGATATATGTGGTTGCTAACCTTCTTCAAGAGCTAATTAAGGCTTGAGAATTGCAACACATGGTAAACTCTATGCTATAAAAAGTAAGCACATGCCTTGGGCCCTCAATTTTAGGGGGAGGGGGGGGGGGCTAATATTTTTATCAAGAATACATTTTATGTTAATTTTTTCATTACAAAAATAACTATTTATGATAGGAAGTACATTTAAAAAAAAATTATACTCCATCTATCCTATTTTATGTGGCCCTTTTTGACTTGGCATGGTGCTTATGAAAAAGACCAACTTAGAGAATGCATAAATTTAGATCATTAGCCTTTCTTAGTAATCACCGAAAAGAAAGAAAGAAAAAAAAATCACTCTACATTTTCTTTTTAAAAAATTCACTCTACATTTTCTTTTTCCTTAAGCTCATATAAATTAGCCAAAGCAATGCAGTTGCATTGAGAGGAAGAGAACTCAATAGACCATTATTCTTAGTGATAGCGTGTATTTGGTTTTAGGAAAATCAAGTAGAAGAAAAGATATGTGCACGAACTAACATGCACATACAAAAAAACTAATGGAATTAACCACCAAAGAATAGGAGAACACGTAAGAGGTTGAAACTCAAACAAATCAGTATAAAGAAACAGGCCATATAAAATAAAACTAAAACTCACAACAAATCAGTATAAAGAAAGAGGCCATATAAAATAAAACTAAGTGATAGAATAACAGAATATATAGATGGATCAATTCCAACAAAAGAAAATTACCCTGTGGCAGGGGTTGACATCCAATCCATATTTTAAGACGCCAGTTATATCATTCTTCAAATATTTCTACATTGCATATCTCTACTTCCTGATCATTTCGATTTGAGTTTTCGTCTGCCTGATTGTAGACTCTTGTTATATCAGAAAATTCCCACAACATAAGCAAAATTAACAAGAAAAATAATTTTCTACATTCTGAAAAATATTTATGGAAAAAAAAAACCAACCCTAACAAATTGTCACTCTTACCATTGGGAATAAAACTTGTTATTCTTTTATGCATCCAACATTTTTTCTTTTCTTGGTTCACCTAAAAGGTTAAAAGATTGGAATTAAAAGAATACAAGTTTTAATTTAGAAACAACAAAGAAAAATTAAACTTTATGATGGAAAAAAGAACAGAGGGAACTCATATACTATTAGTCAAGTGTTAACGTAGATTCTTAATTATTATTAAAGAAGTTAAAGAAAAAAATAACCAGTCCAACTATATTCTATGGGGTCTGTTCGATTACGGTAACAAAGTGATTTTACTATGATGTCCTTGTTATTAGGCGTGGGAGCTAATGGTTGAGGGCGAAGGGGCAGGGTAGTTTGGTAAGTGCACACAAGTTTCATGAAATACGATGTTGGCAAGTTTACGTTGGATTGGTGGACTTGGAGTGGAAACCACGGGAGACTAACCGTTGAGTAAAAAAATTTAAAGAAATTAACCACCAAGCATAGGAGAACAAGTAAGAGGTTGAAATTCACAACAAATCAGTATAAAACCGGCATGTTGACTTGCCTCTATGAAATTTATGGCAGTGAAAGCTAGTCAAAATATAACCGCTTCAACCATGTTGGAAAATGTAAAGAGAATCTTAAAATAATGGCTAAAATTAAGATAAAAGATCAAACTGAAATTGCAACACCAAAAGACAAGATGATGTCAAAGAGCAGTCCCTTCATTGAGTAAAAATACCTATTTTTAAGTTCGTGGATCCAAATTTGAAAGCTGACTGACTAAACAACTGCTGCTTCTTCCTTTTTGGCAAGCTGATTTGAATGTGTTGAGGGACAACATCAAACTTGCCTAATTGCATAATGTACGATGCATGCTCCTTTGTCATTCCCTTTCAAGTTTTACTAACGCAATTGAACATCTCTGTTAATGGAACTAAACCGTCAATCACCTGCACCAATTATACTACATTCATCAGAAAGAAACAACAATTTATGAAATTCATATTCCAACATATGCTTATTCTTCACAATTGTAAAAATATGACATGTTACAATCCCTCTCGAGGCCATTTTTATCAATCAGAAAGATTCATCATGCTTACTCTTCAGAATTGTAGAATATGACATGTTACAATCCTTCTAGATATCCTTTTTAAAGTTCATAAAGCTACCTATGTGTATAAACCGATTATATATACCGATAATTAAACCATTTACACCACCCATTCCTGCTTTAGTAGCATCACAAGAGAAGTCTATGAAATAGATAGATCACATATTAGGTCTAGAGAGAGGAGGTTTAGGAAAGATCCGATCAATTTACCAATTCTTTTTCTTGAGTCATCTCTTAATTGCAACATGGAAGGAAGAGAGAGAATGTTCTAGAAGGAAAATAGAAGAGGCGCATGTTAATTGCTAAAAAATTAGTGTTGTATAATGACCATATTACCCTTCAATATTGAGTATATTTATGGTTATGCCATTGGTCGTCCTAGCTCTTCATGTTTCTATACAATAGAATTAATAGAAATTTTTATTATTACGCCCCTGATGCAATTACACACAGTGCCCTTTTGGTTAGCATACTTACTCTTACACTATAGTGATGTAGAATAATTATATTACCTATCTACACTTTTAACAAAATAATGCGGAGCATATATGTAAGGAACTGTAACAATGACAACAAGTATAATCACATAAACACTAAACCACGGCCAGTTGGAGGAATGAAGAACCTTGAACAAATATTTAAGAAAATCTACTGATATTTAAGATGAAAGATATCCAAAAGATTTCAAGAACTTACAGTTTTAGTAAATATTGCAGAGCTAACTTGATCTATCATTTCAATTGTGTTGGAGATACAATACCTAGCTTAGTAGCCAACCTTTGCTATCCCGGAAACACATAACAGGGAGATGTTTTGAAATACCTTCAAAAATCAAGTAAACACCAATCGTCAACTAAAGAATTCTAAAACTGAGTGCAAAAAATAGTAATTAGCGAGCTATAACTTTAAAGATACTTATGTTTCATCTAGGATCTTAAAAGATCTGTAGAAAGTGTGTCAAGATCTTAATTGATTAGGTGAGTAATTCAGATAAACTACAGTGTCATTGTTTGATGCATTACTGCGATTGTCGTAGAAGCTATTTAGGATATATTTTTTCCACGTTTTGAAGAGAGCACTCACAAAGTGTGAACGCCAAATAAATAATTGTTAAAAGCTTAGAACAACATTTTTCAAAATGTAAGTAACTCTCCGTGCAATAAAATAAAAATAACTTAAACAACCAAGTAAGTGATAGATTAAAGATAAGAACTTCATGTTTCCTAAAGTGAGTAACTTCCAATAGCACACTGTATAAATGTAGGGGTAATTTAGGATGGTATTTAGTCAAAAGATGTTGTTAGATTCTAGGTACGCCACACACACAGAGTTAAATTTGATGGGAGATTCTGAGATAAGGTGTGTAAAAAGAATGGAGAAAAGTGAACTAAAATGCCATCCAACGGAGAAGGAAAGATGACTGGTGATCATAGTTCTGTAATCTGTGGTCTTTCTGACCTACACTTTCATCTCCATTTTGTGTATAGAATTATAAAGATGGCTAATTATTTATTTGTTTTCTCTTCATGGTTTATTTTGAAACTTGTGTTCAAGTCAAGTGTACTAATCTCTCATGTCATAATTTTGTTTTCATTGATACCAACTCTTTTTTACTGGTGTGCTTTGACTATGAAGCAAATTTATGTTCAATAATTAATTCTTTTAATAATATAATACTCTAGTGAAATAGAAATCTTACACAGGAGAGAAAGCTGAGATTGAATATTCAGGTTGATGACACTGAATGTTGTTTATGTGATGAGAAAGTAATGGAGACTAATGTTCACCTATTCGAGAAATGCAAATGGACATTAGCTGTGTGGCAAGTTATGCACCATTGGACTGAAATACCAGTGCAGATTATTAGTATCATGAAGGTCCTGGAAAACATAAAAGGTAATCACCGGAAGCAATTAAAAAGGAGATCATGGCAGCTATCTGTGGAGATATCATATACCACACTTGGCGTGCCAGGAATTGGAGGAGGTTTACAGACAAACGTGTACATACGAAGGAGGCAGTAACACAGATAAATAAGGAAATTATTGAAAGATTACACTTAGTAGTTCAAAGAAAGCAAAAAAATTGTAGACACTTTATTCAACATTTGTTATGTAATTGGTTTTATGTTTGGTAGGAGGCCTGTTCTCTATTATCAGAATTAGGTGCTCTTTATTTGTATCCGTTCTTGGGTGGTTATGGTAATATTTTACAGTTGTTACCAAAAAAAATAATCTTCACTTGCAGAACAATTCAGGTAATTTAAGAAAGGGAATTATACAACAGATTCTAAAAACAAAATTAAATGACAGCACATCTAAATTTTTATCCTTTAATGTTAAATTTTTAATTTCATGAATTCTCTTTTAATGTCATCGGTCTTTAGTGTGATTTTCAGGCCTTCAGATCACAAAAAGAGACAGATGAAGTGATTGACTTTCAGTATGACCACAACAAATAATTAAATAAACACAAGTCATTATGATATAGCTTTTTGCTCAAAACTCACATTATGTAAAACGTAAATAGAAGAAAACCAAAAATAACACAGAAGAACCTTATAACAAACAAAGAGCAAATGGTGGAGATACTGAAAGGAAAATCAAAGGGAACAAATGGAACTTGGATATAGATAATTGGAAGCAGAATATCAGTGTCATATATATATAATTTAGCATCATTTGAGGTGCTTCATTAGTTTCTTGCAAATTCCACAAAGCACTATTACTGATATTCCACAAGAAATATTTAGGGAAGAAAGAAATCTTTAAAGAGATATAAACACCAATTTTATCTATTAATTGTATAGAAAATTAATTGACAATCAAATTCGATCATAGAAGATAAGCAACACACACAACAGCAGCCTGTGACTATACAATAAAAGATATCCTCATCAGAATTGAATCAACAGATAAAACAACTCTCTAGAAAATATATTCAGAAATAACTCAAAACTAAACTAATGCTTGAGAGCTTCAATTACAACAATCTTAAGTACATTTAATCCTACATCTTTGTCACTTGAAACTGAAGGGCTAAAATTGTATAAAACGAACCTCATGAAGATGAGCCAAAAAATGTCAGGATCACTCACGAGTCACCACCATTTGATTCATCAGCATTCAGCCGTGCGTACATAATGTCAAAAATAGCAAATTTACTTGTACAGGGAAGCTTATAATAAAAAAGCTTCAACCAATGTACCTTCAGGGTTTATGAAAGTGGCGGGTGCAAGATTTTTATTTTTTTTTGTTGATAAGCTCCTGAGACTGGAACCTTGAGGAGGAAAAAGAAGAATTTGATTTTTGGTATCAAATTGGTTGAGAAGAGAGAACAGTTACATTAGAGATAAAAATAATAATAGAAAGCTCAGAGATGGATGCCCAACGTCAATCTATCGACAACAATGGTAGAGACCCGGAGCTTAACACAAATCCGTTGCTTTTATTCCCTATTGTTGTTTGACAGAGAGAGCTTGAGCCATGCCTCTCTAATCGTTATTATAATCCCATAAAAACTATAGATTTTCTGTGTATAGATATACCCATATAGGATTCGGTTCTTCAATCCACTGGAACAAATACAAAAATAGATTCAGTGATATGTTTGTTCTTAAATTTTTTTCCGAAACTCTAGCCCTTTCTCTATGTTGAGGAATTTGAAAAGAATTTTAAGAGGATAAAAGCAAAAATTGAGAGAAAAATTACCTGCAATTAAAATACCCAGTTAAGAATGAACTCAAAGTTTGTACTTTCTTGAGTAGAGCATCGGCTTTGTTAATGGTAAGCAAAGAAGAGTGTAGAAGAAAGGATTGGCAAACAAAATGCCCTTAGAATATAATAAAATTTTCAAACTACCCTTGGTCGTCCTGGTCGTCTTCACCTTTCTATATAATATATATAATAGAAGAAAAAATATATATATATAAATAATACTAATGATAATAATATAAATTATTATAACAAAAAAAAGATGATAAACGAGAAAAAGAGAGAATAAAAACATAGAAAAAAGGATAAAATAACATGGATAAGGAACCTCTTTTATTTTGTTTGTAAATATTACTTGGTGATTAATAAAATGTCAAGTTAATTGCCAAATAGTTGTAATATAGTTTATTAGCTTATACCAATAAGTAATTAATACTATCTCCAATTGCTCTGTTTAAATAAGTATTTAATACTATTTTTAATAAAAAAATAATTTACTAATACAACATAAAAATATAAAAGGACAAAGACGTATAAATATTTAAATTATTTGATATTTTATGAAATTAAATATTCACGCAATGCGCGAGAACCTAGACTAGGACAATTCAATTTTATCATATCTTTTATGATTTTTAAATTTAAATATCCACCTATGTGACATTAAAAATAAATGATTGCCATGAAAAAATAAATCAATTTAAAGCTACTATATATATATATATATATATAAATAAATTTTTAAGTTATTTTTATAAAATCAATATGATGTAATGTATTCGAACAATTACGCAACGCACGAGCACGTATACTAGTTGGTGTATAAAAGAGAGTGTAAGAGGATATTTTTGTGATTACACATACTTTATCCTATGATAAGATATCCTGAGATTACTATTCTACCTTTAGGGAGGGATACTTATCTTAGTAATATTTATTAATCCTAGAATAAGTTACCATGTCTTGTGTAACCAAACAAGAGATTAATAAGAGACACTAAAATTTTGTTTCATGACAACTTTCTCTTATCCATCACACCAAACGACCCCTTAGTGGTTGGATAAATTATCTTATATACATGATAAAGTAATTTATCCCAAAATAACTAATTTCGAAATAATTTATTCCCAACCAAACTATCCTAAGTGAATTGCTGATTAAGACAACCTAGCTTTTAAACTTTTTCATTAAAAATTGCATTTTCTAAGTAATTGTTGGCACAATCTCAACATAAAGTATTTTGCAATCTGAAATAAAATTAGTTATTCTTTCTGACCTCAACTCAATCCTTTAAGGCCGACTAGCCAAGAGAGCATGGACTGTTGATCACTTCTAAATGGACTGAAGAAATTTTAGCTCAATCCCACTTGCATAGAGAATAAGTTGGGTTGACCTTACGGGACAAGTCTATTTTGACAGCTTTGTTAAGTACGAAAAAATATTTGTGTGACTTTTTTTTTAAATAGTAATAGTTCGAGCTTTGATATAACAATTAATGATTACCAAATCTAACAACATTTTCTAAAATATATTTTATATCAGTAAATACAATATTTTCTGAAACTTGCTACGTATTAGTGGTAATTCAATTTACTTTGTATCAATGATAACGAATTAAAAATGTTATTGTATCACTAATACAAAACAATATTCAGAAATTATTATATTACTTATACTTGATGAATTTCAAAAACTCTCGCAATATTTGATACTTTGTTTTAAAATATTTCCTATATTTCATAAATATAGTGTATAAATTTGTATATATTTAGTTATCGCAATATGTTTTGACCAATTTCTCAAGTCAGCACCTCTGTTTAGGTCTATTTTATTCTACAATGGTACCTCTTGCTCAATGACGTAGCCATAAATTTTACAAAGGGTGTCCAAGCGTAATACAAGCAACTTTTTTTTTTGACAAATAGATGAACCATATTTTTTGAAATTAAACCATGTATTATTGTAATTGACTTTTTTAAATAATTGGATGCATCAAAATTTTAAAATCAATATGCATAATATTTAGCTCTAATGAGTCATATCTAATTTAATATGAAGTGAACATATGAAATTAAATGAAGAAGAATGAAAACCTGAAGAAACTTAAGCCTAGAAAGAACCATTTTAGGCTTTAACATTTCATCAGCTTCTAGCAACGACAACGATGATCGTGAGACACGAGAATGGAGAGCAACATCAAACGAGATTTTCTGAAGAAAAAAAATCCCTGTGAATATTTTTGCTTTAGATTTTGGCAGAATTGTAGAATATTTTTTAAGTTTTATTTAAAATCATTAATGTAATTGTAAAAGAAAGTAAAAAGATACATCGAATGAGAATTCAATTGACCATTGATATTTTTATTCCTTTTAGAGATGTTTACGAGAAAATTAAATCTCTTTGCCACTTTTTAATTGAATTAGAAAAAGACTTTTTTGAAATCTTATGTATAAAAAAAAAATTCTCTTATGAAAAGAATATTGTTATAAAATAATATATTGTGGATGTCCACTACATCAAGAATTTATTCCATTACTTTCCTTCATTATGTAGATAACCATAACCTCCATAATCTCCACCTTTATAACCATTATTCTTGTAACCTTTCACTTCCATACACTACTAAAAAACTACTAAAAAATGATAGAAGTAAAAGTGACGGACGGCGTCGCTCCAAAAAGCGACGACATTAGCCACATTGTCCGTCGCTTTTTAATTAAAATATTTTTTTTTTTAAAAAAAAAAAAAAGCGACGGACGGCATCTCTTAGTCCGTCGCTTTTTTTCGCGGATTTTGCTAATTAATTGTTTTATATAGATAGTGACGCAGTCCGTCGCTTTTTATTAAAAATAATTATTTATTAATTAAAAAAAGCCATGCCGTCCGTCGCTTTTTATTAATTTTAATTGTTTAATTATTTTTTAAATTAGCGACATACAACATCTTTATGTCCGTCGCTTCTTGGTCAAAATATCTGGTCAAATATTTTAAGATAGCGATGGACAGTGTCTTTTAGACTTTTTTAAAATATCTGCACTAGCAGACGCAATTTTCCCCATTTATCCATCTAAAAAACAAAATTGAGAAATGTTTTGATTTAATTTTATTTAAATCGTCTTCCGGAGGACGGTTTTGTGTAAAATAAAAACAAAAAATTAATATACCGACTTCCGGATGCCGGTAAAATTAAATAGTATGTAATAAATTAATATTTTCAATTAACTTTAAATAAATCGTCCTCCGAATGACGGTTTTATATAAGTTAAAAAATAATTTAATATAAAATACCGACCTCCCGATGTCAATATTATTTAATTAACATGATTACTTTTTATTTATCTTAAAATTTAATGTGATACCGATCTTTTTTATTATATCTAATTACTTTTAATAAAAGCGACATCCGGAGGTCGATTTGTTTAAAATATTCCTATTAATCATAATTTTGCTATTGTGCATAATATTAAAATTTTATTTTACACCTATAAGTGTAACAATTTTGTATACTTTTATAAATACAAAGTTAGAATTTGTGGAATAAATAAAAAAATATATATAATCCATATTTAGAGTATGAAACTACGTTGATATGAATTAGGAGATAATTATACTTATATTTATAGAGTAATGTACAAATTCTATCAGTCCGTCGTCTAATCATGAACTTAATATCTCATGTCATGATGTAGTAGAGGTGAAGAGCTAACATATAATCCATTCGAGTATGAAATGCGACATAGTACGTATTATTATATACGTTCGATCTTGAATGATTGTCAAATATAATGATCACCTCCTAATTATGATGACATGTAAACGATACCTTATCGGAGTATGAAATACGTTGATTAATTATATATATATTCCTCGAGTAGTTTAACAAATCAAGTCATCTATACTAGTGGTTCAAATATGAAATACATTATCAATTAAAGAAATAACGATGCTCAATTCAAGGAGATTTATATATTAAATTTGATATTGATAAACTTTTGTTGATCAATAAAATTAAATTTATATAATTAGAAGGTATATAATTTAAATTTATAAAATTAACTTGATCGATAAATTAAATTATTAAATTAAACTTTATGTTGATGTGTAGTTAAATATTATATTATATTATATATATATACATATATATTTATATATATATATATATATA